TTGTGTGTCTCAGTTCCCCTGGCTAGGAAAAGGGATTCCCTTCCCCCTTGCGCTTCCCAGGTGAGGCGATGCCTCGCCCCGCTTCAGCTCTCGCTGGTCGGGCTGCAGCAGCTGACCAGCACCGATTGTCCGGCACTCCCTAGTGAGATGAACCCAGTACCTCAGTTGAAAATGCAGAAATCACCAGTCTTCTGTGTCGCTCGCGCTGGGAGTTGGAGACTGGAGCTGTTCCTATTCGGCCATCTTGCTCCATCCCCCCAAAGTATGTTAAAACTATAAGTGAGTTTGGAAACTTTATTAAGGCTGTGTTACATTTAAATGCAAACAGAGCACACTGGAGAAAACAATGGTGAGAGAAAAAAGAAGAAATAGGAGGCTCATGCTGAGCCAAAGTTGTCACCCCTGCTGAGATTCAGATGTATTTGATCATGTCCAGAGATGTTTCTGGGACCTGAGGCTGGAAAATACCTAGCTGAATGAGTTGACTTACATAGTAAAAGGAACCTGGGGAGACTCTTGGGGAAGAAAAGAGCTCTGCCTGGAAGATATAGTAGAACACAGAATGGGGCACAGCACAGACATCCTGCTTCAGCATGGAACACAGCCTGTCTCCCAAGTGTCCCTAGCCTGTTTAAAAACTCTGGGACCACTATGAGATAGAATGCTTGGCATGAACATCAGTGTCCTACAATCAGCACCAGTGGTAGAGACAATAGGAGAAATCCTATAGTGATTTCTTGGACAGCTGATACCAAAGAGGGTGGTCAAAACAGGAAAACAATTGGGACAAAACATAGGGGAACTCACTGGACATAAATGGGGAAAACTTTGCAGAGGCTGAGGTGTAGCAAAGAGTCTGTGAAATGTTACTGTGACTGCCCCCCCGCAACTGTATCCACAGATTTATGAGTCCTGTAATACTAGCTTTAACAGTTTGAACAAAATCCATGAGAGAAAAGCCACAAGTTAGTATCCATTAGCTTGTATTAGAAATATTAGATTATAATACAATTTTATATGTTTATAAATCATATAAGTACTAAAATTACCTAAAGAGAAAAATTTTTTGCTTTTATTACTGAACATTAGCATTACTAACAAATACTGTTATTACAGAGCTTTTCAATAAAAGCACATTAATTGAGAGTAATAAGACAAGAGGGCTCTTCAGGTGTGTGGCCAGTATACCCACTTTGCTTTTTATCTCGCTGGGCATGGTGGCTCATGCCTGTAATTCCAGCACTTCGGGAGGCCGAAGCGGGTAGATCACACTGAGGTCAAGAGTTCGAGACCAGCCTGGCCAACATGGTAAAACCCCACCTCTACTAAAAATACAAAAATTAGCCGGGCATGGTGGTGCCACCTGTAATACCAGCATAAGAATTGTTTGAACCTGGGAGGCAGAGGTTGCAGTAAGCCGAGATCATGCCACTGGACTCCAGCTTGGGCAACAGAGTGAGACGTCTGCCTTAAAAAAAAAAAATGCATGTGGAAACAAATACAAATAACCATCAGGTAATATTAGGAACACCTCTAGGCACACAAACTAGAAAATCTGGAAGAAATGGATATGTTCCTAAACATACATACTCTCCCAAGGCTGAACCAGAAAGAAGTTGAAGCCCTGAACAGACCAATAATGGACTCCAAAATGTAATCAGTAATAAATAGCCTACCAACCAAAAAAAGCCCAGGACTGAACACATTCACAGCCAAATTCTATCAGATATACAAAGAAGAGCTGACTGGTACCATTCCTACTGAAAATATTCTAAAAAATCGAGGAGGAGGGACTCCTCTGTAACTCATTCTATGGGAACAGCATCACCCTAACACTAAAACCTGGCAAAGGCATAACAACAACAAAAAACTTCAGGCCAATATCCTTCATGAACACCAATGAAAGAATCTTCAACAAAATACTGGCAAATTGAATCCAGCAGCATATCAAAAAGCTTATCCACCACTATTAACTAGGCTTTATGCCTGGGGTGCAAGGTTGGTTCAATATATGCAAATCAATAAATATATTCATTACATAAACAAAACTAAAGACAAAAAAACCACATGATAATCTCAATAGATGCAGAAAAGGCTTTTGATATAATTCAACATCCTTCATGTTAAAAACTCTCAATAAACTAGGTATTGAAGGAACGTACCTCAAAATAATGAGTCATTTATGACAAACTCATAGCCAACACCAATAATGAGTCATTTATGACAAACTCACAGCCAACACCATACTGAATGGGCAAAAACTGGAAGCATTTCCCTTGAAAACTGACACAAGACAAGTATGCCCTCTCTCACCACTCCTATTCAACATAGTCTTGGAAGTCCTGGCCACAGCAATCAGGCAAGAGAAAGAAAGGGCATCCAAATAGGAAGACAGGAAGTCAAACTATCCCTGTTTGCAGATGCCATGATTCTATATCTAGAAAAACCCATCATCATGGCCCAAAAGCTTCTTTCAGTGAAGTCTCAGGATACGAAATCAATGCACAAAAATCACTAGCATTCCTACACACCAACAACAGCCATGCCAAGAACTAAATCAGGAACACAATCCCATTCACTGTTGTCACAAAAACAATAAAATACCTAGGAATACAGCTAACCAGGGAGGTGAAAGATCTCTTCCAAGGAAAACTACAAAACACTGATCAAATGGAAAATGGAAAAACATTCCATTCTTATGGACAAGAAGAATCAATATTGGTAAAATGACCATACTGTCCGGTGTAATTTATAGATTCAATGCTATTCCTATCAAACTACCAATGACATTTTAATTCATAGAATTAGAAAAAACTATTTTACAATTCATATGAAACCAAAATGAGTCTGAAAAGCCAAGGCAATCCTAACCAAAAAGAATAAGGCTGGAAGCATCACATTACCCAACTTCAAACTACATTACAAGGCTACAGTTACCAAAATAGCATGGTACTGGTACAAAAAACAGGCACATAGACCAACGGAACAGAGTTGAGAGCCCCAAAATAAGGCTGCACACATACAACCATCTGATCTTTGACAAACATGACAAAAGCAATGGAGAAAAGACTCCCTATTCAACAAATGATGCAGAAGATTGAAACTGGGCCCCTTCCTTTCACCATATACAAAAATCAACTCAAGATGGATTAAAGACTTAAATGTAAAACCCAAAACTATAAAAACCCTGGAAGACAACCTAGGCAGTACCATTTTGGACATAGGAACAGGCAAAGATTTCATGATGAACTCTTTCAATTGACAAAAGCAATTGCAACAAAAGCAAAGATTGACAAATGGGATCCAGTTAAACTAAGGAGCTTCTGCAAAGCAAAAGAAACTATCAACAGAGTAAACAGACAACCCATAGAATGGAAGAAAATTTTTGCAAACTATGCATCTGACAAAGGCCTAATATCTAGAATCTATAAGCAACTTTAACAAATTTACAAGCAAAAAACAAACAACTCTATTAAAAAGTGGGCAAAGGACATGAAGGGAGACTTTTCAAAAGAAGACATATATGCAGGCAGCAAACATACGAAAAGAAAGCTCAGGCTGGGCGCAGTGGCTCACGCCTGTAATCCCAGCACTTTGGGAGGCCAAGGAGGGTGGATCACAAGGTCAGGAGTTTGAGACCAGCCTGACCAACATGGTGAAACCCCATCTCTACTAAAAATACAAAAATTAGCCAGGCATGGTGGTGCATGCCTATAATCCCAGCTACTCAGGAGGCTGAGGCAGGAGAATTGCTTGAACCCGGGAGGCGGATGCTGCAGTGAGTTGAGATTGTGCCATTGCAAAAAAAAAAAAAAAAAAAAAAAAAAGCTCAATGTCACTGATCATTAGAGAAAAGCAAACCAAAACCAAAATGAGACACCATCTCACACGAGTCAGAATGGCTATCACTAAAAAGTCAAAAAGTAACAGGTGCTCGCAAGGTTGTGGAGAAAAAGGAACACGGAACACTTATACACTGTTGGTGGGAGTATAAATTAGTTCAATTATTGTGAGAGACAGTGGGGCGATTCCTCAAAGACCTAAAAACAGAACTACCATTTGACCCAGCAATCCCATTACTGGCTATATACCCAAAGGAATACAAATTGTTCCATCATAATGACACATGCCCGAGTATGTTCATTGCAGCATTATTCACAATAGCAAAGACATGGATTCAACACAAATGCCCATCCATGGTAGACTGGATAAAGAAAATGTGGTATATATATACCATGGAATACTATGCAGCCATAAAAAAGAATGAGATCATGTCCTTTGCAGGAACATGGATGGAACTGGAGGCCATTATCAAAAGCAAATTAATGCAGGAGTAGAAAACCAAATACCTCATGTTCTCACTTGTATGTGGGAGCTAAGTGATGAGAACACATGGACTTACAGTGAGCAACAACTGATACTGGGGCCTACTGGAGGGTGGAAGGTAGGAGGAGGGAGACAATCAGAAAACTTTACTAGTGGGTACTAGTTCATACCTGGGTGATGAAATAATCTGTATAACAAATCCCCATGATACCAGTTTACCTATATAACAAATCTGCACATGTGGCCCTGAACTTAAAATAAAGGTTTAAAAAATGTGGAAATTTAAAAAAGCAGCATTTGTTTGGGTTCTTCAAATGCAATATTCTAAGATAAAAAGATAATATGAGAATTTAAGCTGAAAAAATAATTAAAATATAGTTGCATCAGTGTCCTGGTAGCTCAGTAGACTGTTCCAAAGCTTGGGCAAGAATTTGGATACCTCTAAGTTGGCCTGAAAATTAGAGTTATAAATATATTCACATTATTTGCCAAGTAATGGAAACATTCAAGATAACTGCCATTCCCTTTGATGTGTGCTTTAAAAACACACACACACACACACACGCCTGAAAGACCTAAACACTTATTGGGGAAAAATATTTAACAATAATTAACTAAACAGTAAGTGTGCATCAGATTTCAATTCAAAAGGCATAAACACATTCAACAAGTACCTGGCAGAATAGTTGTCTTTTGCAGCCTTAATTGTTAGGATCTGTGAAGCAATGACAGAGAGAACTTCCAAATCAATTAGATTGAATTCATCGAAACAACTCCAAGCTCCTGACTGAACTAGTCCAAAGAAGAATTTTCTCACTATCTTTAAAAAAAAAAAAAAAAAGATTGATTAGTAAAATTATTATAATGGTGAGAAAATTTACTGAGATGTTAATTTGTACATGTTCTCCCCATGCTATCCAAAGCAAGTAAAGGCCTTTTGCGTTTCCCCCTTCTAGGCATTTTTATAGGGTTGAAAGCAGCAGCTGCTTAGATGCTAGACAAGTCAACTATTCTGCTTTTCCCTTCTGAAAGCCCAAACACTCAGCAGAGCAAACTCTGATGCTCACAGGGACCGTGAAGACAGGGCCACAGCTTCTTATGGATTGTACAGAGATGCACCAGACCCCTCCCCTGGACAGCCATTTCCCTCACAGAGCTGCACCCTGGGGCAGAGTCTTCAGAACAACTTTCTGGCAGATGGGTGTAAAGTGTGTGAATCTGGGGCTGCCTTTTCTGGATCAGGCAAAGATGCTTTATGGCTTAGTGGCAGGCAGCTGGTGGGCAATGCAAAACACTGAACCACAGGCCCAGATAAGGCAAGACTGCAGGGGGCCCAGCTAAAGCAGGCAGCTGCTGTTGGGCTTCTGCCACTTGCCAGAGTGCAGGCCCAGGCTGACCAGGTGCACCCAGTGCTCTGTGAGAGGCTGAAAGTCTGGGATTGAAATCTATTGGTTTGTAAATGTTAGCAACTAAAACAAAGCAACAAAACAAACAAAAATATTGACAGGTCTAACTTCTGTGGGCTGAATGCAAGTTGAGGGATGCCTGAACTCTAATGCTAGGTATGGCAAAGAGGAAAGGAAGTGGGAATGGGAACGAGTAAGAGAGAGCCTCATACCGAGAAGGATATAGAAGATGGTTCCTTCCACTGAGCAGCAGGAATCAGATCTTGTCTTAATTTAAAATTTTGGTATTTTGTTCATGGGACGTTTGGGGGCATTAATTCTGACTTAAAATATTGCATTAAATATTATTTATCTTAATTAGCAGGCTTTTTGGCCTCACTCATGTGGAGCCCTCATAGGCCCCACTGCTAGTTTCCAGGAAGGAGGCAAGAGTCTATTTGGTAAGTATCTTAAAAATAATAATTGATCAGCTTATTTATGTTGATATTTTTCATGTACTAAATGAGCACAAATTGGAAATGCAGGATCTCAGAGGTAACGTGCTTCGAACACAAATAAAATGACAGCAATAAAATGTATAATGTTTGAACTTAACATGCAAAACAAATTGCAGTATTTTGAAACTTTGAGTAGATTTGTAAGAGACATATTTCAGAATGTTATGAGATATGTCAGATAATGTGCAAACAAAACAAGACTGACAGGAACTTGTAATCATCATCTATATAAACTCTCAAATATTTGTGTTAATCATAATCTTGTCTTAATTACCTTTTCAGTAAATAAATGTATGGGGTTAGGACTTAAAATAAATGTATGTTAATAAAGCAGTACTCTTAATTGTTTTATATATTCATGTTCCATGTAAGATTTTTTTATTGAAAAGAATCCAACTGTTGAAAAGTTTGAAAACCACTGTCTTAAGGAGTAGTTCACCTGAATAAAAGCAACGTATATAATGTTTTAAATTTCTATTATATTCTAGGTTTCTAGTCCATTAGTTTAAAAGAAATAATAGCATTTAAAGTTCTGTTAATACTTGATGTTTGTCTCAGATAAATATTTTTTCTTGTTTTTTTATTCTTCAATGAATTGTTTTACGTTTTATGTGTACAATATTTCTTCCTGACACATGTTTAAGCTTTACCTTATAATCCAGATCCTCAAAACAGTTGAAGACCACACAATGTTTGCCTAAGGACTGGGAAACAAAAATATTTTAATGTCTTTCTTGAATTACGACACAAAATACTAATGTTAAAACTGCGAGAGTAATAAAATGTCTATGTTTTTGAGAAAACTTTTGCAAGATGGAGATGAATTAAAAATCAAATTTAGAGATTCACAAAACTCAATATAATAGTATAAATGTACATATACTGTTACAGTTCAGTTGATTAGTTTATAGAGCATTAAGGTCATGTTTTTACATAAATCTATGAATAAAAAACTATGAAAAAATTCTAGATTACAAACTATATCCTTTGCTTTCATCAGTAACTACTACTGCTTTTATCTCTCTGTCTGTCTGTCTCTCTCTCTCTCTCTCTTTCTGTCTCTGTCCCTCTCGGTCTCACTTTGTCTCTCTCTCTCTCTCTCTCTCTCTCTCGGTCTCACTTTGTCTCTCTCTCTCTCTCTCTCTCTCTCTCACACACACACACAACAACAACAATATTAATCATTCACAAGTAGTTTTCCAGCTAAATAAAAAGCATATGTTGGCTTATTGAGATTCTAAGCTGCAGCACACAACAGGCATTCAAAACGTCATTGATGAATTAATTATATGTGAATTAATGAATGTGCTTGTTAATGCAATGAACATCTTAATAGCAGGAATGGTGTAAATTTAAGATACCATCAAAATTTGTGTGACAGAAAAAGAAAAAAAGAAGTTTTTATTCTGGATAGAGAAACCACTTACTTTTGCCAGATCTTTGACAGTCTCAGTTTTTCCTGTACCAGCTGGACCAGCAGGACAGCCTCCTAGATTCAAGTGTAGTGCTTCCATGAGAGTTAGCCAGCATCGGTCTGTGAGAGGTGTAATAACCAATCTTGAGGTACAGCCCAAGTACTCATAGCCATAAGTAAAGCTGGCATTTCCTTGAGATACATAGCACAATTTTTGTTTTTCATTCCATTTATATTGCAAATGTCTGAAAACAAAATTTTAAATGTTCATATTATTTGGTTAAATTATTTTTATTTTTTTCACATGCAGAAACAGAATCAGGATTTAAAAATGGAGCATTAATTAAAAAAACAAATAGAGGTAAAAAAATTAAAATCAAATGAGAAGTGTGATATAAAACTCATCAATGACTGATCATATTAGGTATGAAACAGAACTGAAGAATACAAACATGTGAACACACTTCCCTCTGAGGCTAATGGCCTTGCTGATTATGCTGCTTTGGTGTGATGTCAACCCAAATGGGGGATTTATATAAGAATCACCCCTCTGAAGTTTATTATGGTTTTCAACAAGACTGTGATTGAAGATGATGTTTATCATAATCTGGATCCTTATTATGAGGGTACTTAAGAGAAATGCTATTTGTTCTACATATCAAAACAAATTGAACTTTGTAGAAAATGATTTGCATTTATATCATGAGCACTGTGAATTGTGAATTGTGTAGCTAACCATAAATGTTCACCTCTTTGTGGTATGAAACCTTTGTGGTATGAATTCTTGACTCTATTTTATATCCCAATTAGTGCTAACTCGATTCTCAAAATAAACACATTTGGGCACTATCAATGAAAAACTATCAAACAATATTTTGTAAATAATTTTACTTTTTTTAATATTAAAACATTGTCAGCGAAAACTCATTCCTACACATTTTTAATTGTTTAGTGCTGTTTTGATTTTGAATTACAAGTGGAGGCAGGTACAATATCTTCGCAGAATTTATTCATTAAAGCTCTTACACAGGCACTAGTTTTTGCCTTTGTTTGCCTTTCTTCACTCATTCCACTCACTCTCAATGTATGCTATCACGTAGTAGTGTGCATATCCTTGTAAGCCCTTTTAAATCTTTTCTGGAACAACAGGGAATATTATAAAGAAATCTGGAAAAGTGAGTAAATTTTAAAAATAAATTTAAATTAAAAAGAAAAGAAAAATTTAAAATTATAAGCAACTACCTTGCAAAGTCTCAGATGGGAGAGCATATATCCATAAGAAAGAGAAAAGTATAATACTTGTGGAAGAAAATGTTTTTTAAAGAAGAAATTCTGTTATCCTAAAGACGAGTATTTGTTTTATGATTCAACTAAAGTGCTAAATCATTATTTTGATAGCAAATCAATTTCCAGAGCCTTTGCCTTTCTATTAGTATTCCCTTAGAACAGAGCTTCTCAAACTTTCTCAGTTCACTGCACTCTTAGTAACCCAGTAATATTTTCATGATGACCCTAGACCAAAAGGAATATCTAACAGTTTCTTTTCTTAATTTTAGGTCCAAAACAGTTTAATAAGTATTTTTGTCTTAATGATTTAGTAGGTTGCTTGAAACAAGGTACACAAATGAATTGACAAAAAAAATTATTTCATTAAATGTTTTAAAAATTAAATTAATTAATTTATTTGAGATGGAGTCTCGCTCTGTCACCCGGGTTGGAGTGCAGTGGCATGATCTCAGCTCACTGGAATCTCCACCTCCTGGGTTCAAGTGATTCTCCTGCCTTAGCCTTTGAGTAGCTGGGATTACAGGTGTGCACCATCACGCTCAGCTAATTTTTATTTTTAGTAGAGACAGGGTTTCACCATGTTGGCCAGACTGGTCTCCAACTCTGGACTTCAAGTGATCCACCGGCCTCAGCCTCCCAAAGTGCTGGGATTACAGGTGTGAGCCACCATGCCTGGCCTTATTTCGTTTTTAAATAACCAGTTACTTAGATATGCCTATTGTGTACTGCACCACTTATCAAACCTTGGGATCAGACTGGATACTGCCAATCTCGTTTGCTACACTGATTTTCATGGGATACTTGCTTTTTTATGAGAGGAATTGCCAAAACCTAGCTTTGCAGGGATAAGAAGTCACTGAAAGGTATGTAGCATGATCTGATGTTAAAACAGAACTATTTTGAGCTGCTAGCATGTTTGGTGTCTGATAGATGTTGTACATTGCTGTGATTCCCTCAAAAGGTTAAAATATCTTGCAGTGCCCTTGTGAATTGTCTATGGTGGCTTGGGATACCTTGACACACAGTTTGGGAACTGTAGCCCTAAACTCAGACACTTACAAAGTCTTATCAGGATCTTCTCTTTTCCAGTTTACCTTTCTATATATGCTCTTCCTCTTTTTCATTTTCAGTTTTAAAAAGAGTTAATAAAAAGTAATAATGACACACTAGACTTTTTTCCAGAGTAATGGTTCATTAACATAGTATATCCTCTTTGGCAATTAAGAAAGTATACATTTATGCTTTAATGAACATGTAAATATATATCAGATATAAAGTATTCAGATAAAATATAGTCAACAGTGGCCTCAGTTATATACTTAAGCCTCTGTCTACTTCTTTTTCTAGAGTTTAAACGAAACTGTCATACCTAAAATCAGGACTTTTATGCTAACTGCAGAATTTATGCTAACCGTACATTTATTATCGGAGCTTGATGCTCAATCTCTTCCCACCAAAGGTGAGAATGGCTCTATTTTTCTATACTTTCATATTTTACTAATTGACTCCAGGTAGGAAGAAGGCAGTTTTGAGTTAGGGAGCTGGCTGGAAATGTTCTTCAGTTTGTTTCCGCTCAGTCTGTTCCAGAATTAACAGCACAGTGGAAAGAAGAGGCTTGAGGTAGAGCTCTGACTGCCCATGGAAAGATACTGCCCTCTGTCTCGATGGAAATGGGAGAATGTAACTATCAAAAGGGCCTAATCAGGTCGGGAAGACAAAGAAGAAAGAAGTAAAAATTAGGTGGAGGGACAGTAGAAAAGAGAAAGAAGGAAAAGCAGTAGTAGGGTACAGTAATCTCCCCTTATCTGCATGGGATACATTTCAGGACCCCCCTCCTGCTGCTGCCCAAACAGAGGATACCTATAGTTCAAACCACATATAGTTCCAGACCCTCTATATACCATACTATGACTTTTCCTATACATAAATAACTATAATAAAGCTTAATTTATAAATCAGGCACAGTAAGAGATGAACAACGATGACATAATAAAATAGAACAGTAGAAAAATATACTCACATTCACATGGCATGTGAATGTGATCTGCCTCTCTAAATATCTTATTGTAAAATACTCACTTATTTTTGGGCCACAATTGACCACAGTAACTGAAACTGGAAAGTGAAACTGCAGATAAAGGGGGACTAATGTACTCAGATTGGTTTGCTTAGAATTTTGGTAAAGCCCCCAAAATTAAAACTCGAGTTTGACAAAGTGTGAGGTAGAGAATCAATTTACCTAAAGATACATTTGTGAGAAGTTATTGTATGTAGTTATAATTTAGATCCACCTACCTTGTCCACTCAAAATCCTCTGCATTGAAGATACTTTTTAGTAGTAAATTTATCACTATATCTCTGCAGTGAACATAAAGGGTAAGCAGTGCCCCTAGTACAGCTTTTGTTCGAGAGTTACTAGTATCCAGTACTACCAGCTCTGCAACCTCTTCTAGATGACATATCAGACCAGCGTGGACTTTTTCCAATTTTTCTCTTGAATAAGAACTCACAAAACTTTTAATACAATCATTATAAAACATGATCTGGCTCTGAAAAAGTAAGATAATGTTATTATATGTGTATATATAATTGAAGCATACATTTTATTTGAAATTAAAATGGATGTTTTCATAAAGTCATGTGGTGTGTATGTGAGTGTTTGTGTAAGAGACCTTACACATTTGTATGTATTTGAGGGCTAAAGATTGAATTCTGATTGATGCTTATGGGGGCCTTATCAATTTGTACTTCCTAAATCTTATATTCTGAAATCTTCCTAAATCTTACACCAGCAACCTTAAGTAATAATGTGGGGACAGTAAAAATGGTAGAAAACTCCGAGATGAAATTAGTGCTGCTTTTCTCTGTTGAACTCAGAAGTAATATACCTAGAACACAGTAAGCGTGTAGTCATAGTTTTCAGAAAGTTTATAGGCCTCTCTTATTCATCCCATCTTTTGACACTCACTCTTGTCATACATAATGGAGCTGTTTTAAGAAGTCTACTGGATTAAGGTCAGATTGACTCTGGAAGTTAAAAGAGGGGGATACATCAGGACAGCTTATAGGTTTCTGGGCTTTACATTGGGTAAATTGTGATTCCAGTAACTCACTACAACAGTACCTATTGCAGGAAAAGTATGCTGCAGGCAAGGTGGCACAGTGAATTCATTCACGGATATATTAAATTTGAAGTGTTCAAGAAACATAAGAAGAGCTATCAAGATATGAATATGGGAATAATTAGCATAAAGTTAATAGAGTGAGATTTTTCCAGACTGAGATAGCAGCATTCAGGATGAGAAACTTGTTATATCAACAGCATTATTGGTTACATGCAACAGAAATGAACTGGCTTTCTTAAAGGATGTTGCAAGCTCATAATGAGCAGATCAAAAGGAGGCTAGAGACTGAGGGTTAGAAAGTGGGCAGGACCAAGAGTCTGGGAAGACAAGAGGAATCACAGTCAAGGCCATGTCATGGCAGAGTCTGGTCAGATGCCAGTACTGCTGTCCTTGAGACATTTATTCAAGATTTGTAGCCTCAGGAGAGAACATCCAACAGGTGGAGACCCCTCCCTAGGCTGCATCAGTGTAGGGTAAAGGAGGACTTGGTTCCGGTGAGGGAGATTGTGAACCAGCTTTTAATTCTTGTTTGTTATTTATTTATAAAGGAATTTTAATTACTATATCTTGTTTGTTATTTATTCATAAAGGAATTTTAATTACTATATCTTCAAATTCTCTCAGTGGCCAGTGCATGGAGACATCTAATTATTCCCATTCCCCCATAGGTGTCTTTTTACATCCATTCAGAGGCAACTCCTAGTCATGTGACATATGTAGAAGTGCAAGAGAAAGGGGAGTTGTAAATTGCATCCTGGAATGGAAAAGGAGCGGTAGGTAAGGCAGACATGGAAAAAAATTTGGCAAAAGAACATTCAATGATTGAAGTTGAAGTCTATCATAAAGTATTTCTAGAAATAGGATACAGACTGCTTATCAATGTTAAGCATGTTTGGAAGACGAGGGATCCAAGAAACATCTTTTATTAGGAGAGCAGATTTGATTATTTGAATTTCTGTTAAACTACAGAAGTGTACAGATTGATTCATTATAATTTTGTCACCTTTGTAAAGAACAGTTTAGGTAAGTTCCTCAGCTTAAGATCTGCGAATATTTTCAATATTCAGTCAAGTGGAGAACAAAAGGGACAAAGAAGATTTGATAATAATAACTTGCATACACAATCCAAAGTTATTTTAACAAAGACTTGAAAATTGTGACTCAAGGCAAAGTAAAAGGATATGATGTTAATTTTAAATTGAATAGAGAACTACAAGTCAAGTACGCTTTAAAAATACTTGATTATGGAGGGCTAAGATGATCGATTAGAAGTAGCTGCAGTCCACAACACTCCTGGAGAAGAATGAAAAGGGGCGAGTGAATTCAACACCTTTAACTGAAATATCCGGGTTCTCGCATTGGGAATGAATAGGCAAGCAGCTCGGATTCAAGGAGAGTGAGGAGAAACAGTGGGGTTGGGGAGGGGGGGACAACAGCCCAACAGTAAACAGCATGGAGCCAAAGGAATCCCCCAGCCCCAGCCAGGGAAGGCAGTGAATGATTGTGAAACCCCACCTGGGAAACCATGCTTCTCCCACGAATCTTTGCAACCTGGATCCCCTCCTAAGCCCACGCCACCAGGGCTGTGGGTCCAGTACACAGAGCTGTGTGGAGTCTGCAAAACAGCCACTCAGGTGCACACGGAGACCCAGGAGTTTTGCATGCTCCAGCCCCAGGATCCCCACCAAGGTGGAAAATCTGCCCATACACATCCATAGGAAGTGGGCTGAATATAGGGCACCAAGCAGCGTCCTTCTGTAGGCCTCACTTCCACAGCGTCTCACAGGTTAAGACCCACTGGCTTGGAATCCCAGTCAGCCAATGGCAGAGGGCTGAAGTCCACCAGGGACAGGACAGAGATCCGTTGGGGAGAGCGGCTGCCATCTCTGCGGTTTGGGGGAAACAGCTGTTCCAGTTTGCAGGCTGTGAAGAGTGCAGATGGTCCAGACAAGGAGGGGCCCCCCACAGTGCAATGCTGTGGCCTTGCCAGATTGGGGCCAGACTGCTTCTTTAACTAGGGCCCTGACATACTACTCCTCAATGGGCAGGTCCTTGGGTCCACGGACAGAGCTCTGATCTCTCCCTAGCAGAGAACTCCCAGGGGAGGGGCGGCTGCCGTATCCGCAGTTCCCTAGTCTCAGCTGTGGAGATGAAGAGGGGCCCTCCCACAGTGCAGTGCAGCTGCCTTGCCAGATTATGGCCAGACTGCATCTTTAACTGGGGCCCGACTCACTCCTCCTCACTAGGAGGGGTCTTCAGTTCTGTGGACAGAGATTTCTTCCTGGGAAGGAGATCCCTGGGTGAGGAGCAGCGCTATCTCTGAGGTTCCCTAAACTCAGCCATTCTACCCGGCTGGCTGCGGAAAATACAGAGGGTCTACAAAGAAGGGTCACCCCCCAGTGAAACATGCCTGCTCTACCAAGAAGCAACCAGACTGCTTCACTGGATGGGTTCCTGATCGTCTTTCTCCTGACTGGGTGACATCTTCCACTGGGGGGCCCTAGCCTCCACAGCAGCCCTATGGTAGAGTGGCCTGTTAAAAGAAAGACAAACAGAGGCTAGGCAGTGGCTCATGCCTGTAATCCCAGCACTCTGGGAGGCTGAGATGGGTGGATCGCCTGAGGTCAGGAGTTCAAGACCAGCCTGGCCAACATGGTGAAATGCTGTCTCTACTAAAAATGTAAAAATTAGCTGGGTGTAGTGGTGCATGCCTGTAACCTCAGCTACTCAGGAGGCTAAGGCAGGAGAATGACTTCCACCTGAGAGATGGAGGTTGCAGTGAGCTGAGATTGTGCCACTGCACTCCAGCCTGGGTGTCAGAGGAAGACTCTGTCTTAAAACAAAACAAAACAAACAAAAAAACAGACAACAACAACATCAACAAAAAAAGACCCCACAAAAACCCCACTCAAAGGTCAGCAACCTCAAAGATCAAAGGTAGATAAACCCACAAAGATGAGAAGGAATAAATGCAAAAACACTGAAAACTCAAAAACCCAGCATGCCTCTCCTTCAAACGATTTCAACAGAACTAGGCTGAGGCTGAGATGGACGAATTGGCAGAAATAAGGCTTCAGAAGGTGGGTAATAACTAACTTTGCTGAGTTAAAGGAGTATGTGCTAACCCAATATAAAGAAGCTAAAATAATAATAACACAATGCAGGAGCTGATAGCCAGAATAACCAATTTAGAGAGGAACATAACTGACTTAATGGAGCTGAAAAATACAACAAGAGAAATTCACAATGCAATCACAAGTATCAACAGCAGAATAGACCAAGGGGAGGAAAGAATCTCAGAGCCTGAAGACTATCTTTCTGAAATAAGAGAGGTAGAAAATAATAATGAAAAAAGAATAAGGAATGAACAAAACCTCTGAGAATTATGGGATTATGGAAAGAGAACAAACCTACGACTGAATGCGGTACCTGAAACAGATGGGAAGAATGGAACCAAGTTGGAAAACGTACTTCAGTATATCATCCAGGAGAACTTCCCCAACCTAGCAAGACAGGCTAACATTCAAATTCAGAAAACGCAGACAACCCCAGTAAGATATTCCATGAGAAGATCAACTCTGAGATACATAATCATGAGATTCTCCATGGTCAAAATGAAAGAAAAAATGTTAAAGGCAACCAGAGAGAAAAGCTAGGTCACCTACAAGATAAAACCCATCAGACTAATAGTGAACCTCTCATTGGAAACCCTGCAAGCCAGAAGAGATTGGGGGCCAATATTCAACTTCTTAAAGAAAAGAATTTTCAGTCCAGAATTTCATATCTGGCCAAACTAAGCTTATCATAAGCAAAGAAGAAAGAAGATCCTTTTCAGAAAAGCAAATGCTCAGGGAATTCATCCTCACCAGATCTGCCTTGCAAGAGCTCCTGAAGGAAGCACTAAATATTAAAAGAAGAAACCATCATCAGCCACTACAAAACACACTGATGTACACAGACTAGTGACACTATGAAGCAACCACAAAAACAAGTCTGCAAAATAACTAGCTAGCATCATGATGTCAGGATACAATTTACACATAACAATACTAACCTTAAATATAAACGGGCTAAATGCCCGAATTAAAAGACACAGAATAACAAGCTGGATAAAGAGTCAAGCCTCATCAGTATACTGTCTTCAAGAGCCCCATCTCACGTGCAAAGACACACATAGGCTCAAAATAAAGGGATAAGGGAAAATTTACCAAGGAAATGGAAAACAGTAAAAAGCAGGAGTAGCAACCCTAGTTTCTAAAAAGCAGACTTTAAACCAACAAAGATAAAAAAAAGACAAAGAAGAGCATTACATAATGGTGAAGGGCTCAATTCAACAAGTGATAACTACCCTAAATATATATGCACCCAATACAGGAGCACCCAGCTTCAGAAAGCAAGTTCTTACAGACCCACAAAGAGATTTA